ATGATTTGACATCCAGCTAACGTAGCAGAGATAAAGAGAGAGAGAGGGACGGAGAGAGAGAGCTCAGCGATAGGCTCACTGCTGACAATTTTGTCAGACATATGAGTAGGTACAAATTGTTTTTCATCCAACTAATAATCAGTCCGACTGATACTGAGCAAGGTATATGATGATAACAAGATAGAAATACGAACGTGTTTATACGATGGGCAAAATGTTATTACTAATTTTTTTGAGTCCACCACTGTTACTTTTGTACCTGCGCACTTCAAGGTTTGCTATGTTTGGATTTTATTATCTGGCAAAATGCTGGACATCGACTTCGATGGCAGCAACACGCAGTTTTTAGGGGAGAACCGTGGGTACATGAAATAAATATGCACTCATCCACATCTCATCCTCGAAATTCCTTAGGTAGTATTGCCTGGGTCGACGGAAAAGGCTCTGCCTCCATGGCTTAAAAAATTGTTAAAACCAGGAGAGAAAAAAAAAACGTGTCTGTGTGCTAGAAGTCGACAACTTATTATCCTGAACTTTGGCTGAATCTTAGAAAACCATCTTAACACATGAGCCGTAACTCCATACGCTACTGTTCCTTCTTAAGGGCCCTCGTAAAAAATTACTTAACCGCCCTTGTATGAGAAAGAGAAAAAAAATAATGGATGTACGTTTTTCTGACCCATATGGTACATTACTAATGGTTATTAGCATAAGCCTTCGTCGGATGAATGTAGCACGAGGAGATATAATGGACGGTGAAGATTGGACTGGAGAGTTTGGTCTCTTGTTTCTTTGGCTGTTGATAAGGAGGAAATTTGGAGTCAAGGCATGTGGATGTAGAACAAGTCTGGCTGCAAGTAGCTTTTCAGGGTTATGTATTTCTTTCAAAACATTTAAACACTTACAAAATAGCAAGACAGTGTTGCAGATATCAAGTACCATCTCGTTATGACTGAGAACTAGCATTTTTTTTCTGACAGATTCTAAAATATCAGAAATAAATGAATTAAAAAATCGACAAAAGCATGTTTTTCAATTAATTGAAATAGGAGAAGGATGGCAATTCTTCAAACACTGTGATTTCAATATTTACTGATATCTTATCTAATGTGGATGGTCCTTTCCAATAAGTCATTCAATGCCCGGGCGTCGTTGCACCCTATATTTCATTCCCGCCTTCACCTGATATGCAATCACCTATTTAGGTAGTTCGATCCTTCCGAAGACGTTTAAGTCTCACGTGTATTTAACGATTGCAATTACCTTCAGATTATACGACAGTAGAGTTAGGGTCCATATTTGGGGTGCTATTAAGACGACTGGGAATCTGGATCGCGCCAAAACTGCGGCGCAGGTGATGCTGTTCCACATATGCTCATTTCTTTAGTTTACAGACTACGCGAAGTAAAACCTCTCGTGGAAACACCTTTCGTGTTCAGACTTACTGCAGTGATTGACAACAATGTTTGCGCAGTGGCAGATTCTGAAAATATTTGGCATCATATTTGCTTGCCCGGTATCACTAATTTTCCTAAAAAACCAGTTGAGTTATTAACTCTCTCAGTAATGCAATCGATACATCGAAAGCACTTTTGTTAAAAAAAGCTTCTGACAACGGTGCTAGGCGCTTATGTCATCATGATCCCAAATTATTGTATTAGTATCGAAGAAATCGATCGCTCTAGTTCTTCGTGTATTTTTTTAGTCCTTCTAACCGTGGCCTACGGTTAGAGGTGGCGTTTTTGTTCCAGCGTCCAGTAGAGGGCGCGAGAGCAGTATCATTAGCTGTTGAACCAGGAAAATTAGGTCAAAACACGTGTTGTTAAAAGTAACAGAAAAGAAACTGGGCTTTCCGCACGGTGATCAAGTAAATTGAATATTTACTCGATGTTTCTTAAATAATAAGCATTCTGTAATCATCAAAGAGTTAATTAAGCAGAATTTTGTAGAGCAAGGACAAAAATCTAGAATCTAGTTTGACTGACGTGGTACAAATCTATAAAGAGAAAAGAATACAGGTTTTGTAGCTAACCTCAATGGACATATTGATGGATGGTTAAAAATATATCCTATTTTTAAATTATCTCAGGTAAATATTGATACTGTTATTTTCAATAAAATGCTCACTAAGTGCTGTTCTATTACTCTATTGTATTAGCTGTGATCCATGTTTCGAGTAGGTCGCAAATCCTTCTTGTTGATTAGTCGAATCTGCGTTTCACAAATTATTTTTCTCTAGTTTGAGAGGCATTCCACAAGAAATCGACCATATTAATTAATTAGATCCATTACTACAAAAATGCCTTTTCATTGGTCTAATTTGTGCCACAGGAGCAAATTTTGCGCTCCGGACCAGTAAAAATGGTCCTCAACATTCTGTCATGCACTAACACTGATTAGATCTGGGGTGGGCGTGTAGCATGGCGCTTCTGTCGGCAGGGTACGGTAAATACGCGCCACTCCAGACGAAAGAACGCCTTGTGTATGTGTGTGTGTGTGTGTGTGTGTGAGTGTGCGTGTGCGTGTGCGTGTGCGTGTGCGTGTGCGTGCGTGCGTGTGTGGCTGTGGCTGGCCAGCCATTATTAGAGCAGTGGCTGAGCAAGCAGCAAGTGAAATGAGTAGTTCATTTACGCCCAGGCAAAACACAACAAGCCCAAAAGCGAGTTTGTACAGGTCTGTATTTTCCTCAATGGTCTTGGAATAATCTAACAAAATAAATGATTTTTTTTTAGTAAGAGGTGCATATTCTTTATTTGCTGGAACTACTTGAATCATCGTCCGAATGGCTAATATCAATTATTACAGGTTCAATTTGAATATCGATCATATTGTCCAGATCTCACATCTTTGTTTTGATTGTCTCTTGAACGTGACGGATGCAATCTTTCCAATGATTTGCCGTCACTCTGTTGAAAGCTTCATAAATCAAATTTTTCACGTCGGAAAATTTGAATGTTCTATTGTTTGAAGCCACATAGTTTTTTATATTTGCCCAAATCATTTTGGTTTTTAGCCCTTCCGTTAATAACATTAAGATTATATTTATATTTGTGCTGCCTAGCTAGATGGATAAGTTCTGCTTTGACCATATATTCATTGAAACTTTGATAGGAGCCATTGTTGAATTTCTGCCTTTCTTGTGGACATTGTGGGAATTTTTTCTAGTCTTCTAGTGTGCTATACAGTATTATCAAGTACAATGACGGCATTGTCGTCAAGCTTTGGGAATGTTTCTTCAAACCATCGTTCAAGTGTCCTGCATTTATCCAGGTTTCATCCATGTAATAATTCTTCCTGCCCTGGTCGCGGTATTTCTTTATTGATTTTAAAATTTCTTCTCCATAAAATAATCTCTTGGCTGCCCATCAAAATACCATTTTTGTCCCGTTTTCTGTACTCAAAATGAAGTTCTTTGAGTAATCTATAGAATGTGGTCCTTTTAAAAGTAGGTAAGTCTTTACCCTCTTCGTGTAATGCATGCTCTTGTGTGGTGGAGACAATTGTTTTTTTATATTCTTCAACAATGTTGAAAATTGTCTTAGGACCTAAGCCTGTTTTGTTCGTCACACGTCTTTCATTATCATGAATTTTCATTTCAGGATGCTCTAAAATTTCGCCCTTATAAACGTTAAGGACAATTTCTTTTCTTGTCACGTTTTCGGGGAGGAGACATCACTGAAGAGGAAGCATGGCTGAAGGAAGCATTGGGAGAAATATTCTCAGTTTCATCTGCTGTATCCGTAGACGACATGCGATGTATAGTATGCACCCAATATAAACAGAAACTGCCGGCGTCGGCGTGCCGGCGATACCTCGAGCCTGAGTTCTATCCTGTCGAATCCTGCACTTGTCCGTAGTTTTTTGACCGAATGACCAATTGCTATTGCAATGCTTAGGCGACTACCGCTTTGCTGCGCTGCATCTTTGTTGAGCCAGGGTGTAAATGGACTACGAATAGGGTTATAGAAGAAACATTGATACAATGCATATATTTTCTAATTATAATGGAACAAAAGTGGCTATATATGACATTGCACAATGTATTTAACATTCAGTGGTCGGTCCGCTTTTTTGGAAGTCGTACTTAGGATCTCAGGAATACCAACAGTATCGGACCGCTCGCATTCTGAAAAATGTAAGCGATTCGCCTAACTGTGAGGTATCATAAATACGCCCTCTTGAGATGCATGCCTTGCGAAATAGGAGATGGATGTATAAGGAAACCACTTTCTTAGTTGAGTAACCCTACTATAAGTATTCTGTATACTTTGGTTCAGATATAAATGTCTGATGCTATTGCATGGCTTTGCATGCCGGCTTAGGTGAATAATAAAGTCGACGCCGATTGCGCAAACCGATTTAATGGAAACATACCTGATTGTTTTTCAGAAAATGCACTTTCTAGTAGTAGATCTACGGAAATATGCAAAAATGTTAGCCTTATAGCGCTTTATCTTTGTGAAACTGTGTTGCACTAATGCATATTGTTGCGTTGCAATTTTTGTTTTGTTCATTACCACTACTTTTAAGTGGTAGCTCAGTAGCATCGTCTACAGGCTCAAGAGTCAGTTCACGTAGATTTTCTGCCTCTGAATCCTCACTTGCTTTATCTGCATCAGTTTCAAGCAAGACGCTAGCAACGATAAAATCTGCCTCAGAAAATACGGTCAACCGGCCATATTCCAGTTCTTTTGAAATCATTCATGATACTGCTTATTGATGCTGTTTTTGCATAGGCGTCAGAGAGCAATAGAGTCATGTTGTATTGAGAAACAGTGTTACCAGGATTGCTTCTTAAAAATGTTTCTACACCTTGAGAAAAATAGCGTTCCATAGGTTCAAAAAGCTTACGTCTAATGGCTGCAACTGATTTGTAGTAGGGCCAGGAAGTTGCAATAGTACAATTCCATGATTTTTTTCTAAAATGAGTGCTTACAGATTTTTCGAGTGCGTTGTGTGGCCATCTGGTAAAAGCAAAACTTTTTTTTCGGTACTTGGTTTTACGTACTCAATGAAGTGCTGTAACCATTTAACAAAAAGTTCGGTATTGATATATCCAGTAACTGAAATTGTAACAATAGTGCCAGATATGCACCTATGGTTAGCTCTGGAGCCATACGTTTTCTCTTAAAAATGATCATGGGTGGTGCAGTTTGACCGGCAGCACTGGCACAAACGACAACTGTAGTGTTTACGCCCGTTTCACTACTTGCTATACCTCCAACTTGGTGTTTTCCTTTACGTGAATTTTTTTTATTTCGTTTCTGAACAGTTGAAAATCCACTTTCATTAACAGTATGAATTGTTTGAGCGTAAAAACGGTTTTCATCAACACATTTTACTAAAATGTCGAAAAACTCATGGACGTTTTTCTGGTTGAATCCAGTTGCTCTAGCCATGGATATTTTCTCTGGTAGTCTAAGTGACAGTTCAGGATGTCGGTTCATGAAAGTATAATACCATCCTTTTCCCGCCATTTCTTTGCTGATATTAAAACGGCGTGGATTATCATTCCGCACAGCTATTTGGAAAGCCAATCGTCGAAAATCACCAATTGTTACTCCAAAAAATCTTTCTTCCAACTTTAAGATATGTTTTGCTACTTCTATTTCAATTTCAGGACTAAAGGTTGTGTGCCGACCCAATGACTTAAAAGTGCCTTCGGCTTTAAAATGTTATAACGTCTGCAGCACTCCTAAAACCACACTGGTTTTATTTGTATGCATTAATTGCATAATCCATATCTTCTGAGGTCCATCGACAGTATTCCCGTTTAGTTTTTTTTCTTATTTGTTACTTTACTCATCTTCTTTTATGAAAACCTGCTGAAAATTGGAGCAAAAAGTCTCAGTTGGGTAAATCGTACCGGTACGATTGCAATCATCAGGTGGTTCACGATGTAATGTTTAACTTTCGTCTTAAATATTTTTAATCCGTTTTTAATTTTTTCTTGTCATACAGCTATGGGTAGTTTGTATAATTTTGACGATTGAACCATGCATCCAGCTTTCACCAGGTTACTGGGTGTTTCCCTCAACCTAAACGTAAATAACATTTAGCAACATCCTCACATAGTACACTGCTGATGATGATGGCAAAGATCATTGAAAGCTAGAGAGGTTAAAAAAGTATAAAGAGTCTTCTTTGCTTAAATTTTGTCGCAGTACCCAACAAAAGGCGGAAGCTTTAATTTTTCACCTAACTGGTCTAGACGACACTGATACGTCTAAAATATATATATAGTATGGATAAGCCTTCCAATTATCTATCGCGTGGATATTTTCAATACGCAGAAATAATGGCTTTAGGATACAATTCATCAATTTCCACTGAAATGTGTGGTGTTTGAATTATGCAGTGGGCACGTAACTTTTTACATTCCATACCGGAGGAAAATTCTGAACAGTACAGTTGAAAGCTAAGTGTGCGGCGTTTTAATATATCCTGAAGTGAGTTGACAGCAGTGAGCGTAGCTCTAGTGTATGTCTGCGACATGGTTGCGAATATTCTAATTTTCAGGCAAAAATCGCGAGCAACGCCGCGACCATCAACTCGCTTGACGCCTGACTGCTGCTGCTCTGCACCGAGTTGTCACGAGTGACGTCTGCGTCTGATCTCGCTCTGCTGTTTCTACTCTGCATCCGTCAGCATTATTCGTAAAATACCTATGAAATGCCGCCGTTTTCATCCTTCAGCCAGTTAAGGCCAGCCACACACTTCAAATCTTCATGCATGTTAAGGGACTGTTAATAAAGCCAAAAACAGAATTAAATAACTGCATCTTTCTCTTGCAAACTATTCCTTGATAGAAATGGAAGCTATGCCATATTAGGTACTTTGTATCTCAATTTTTCGTATTCGCATCACATGCGAGTTATGAAAATGAAGTAGGAGCTATCAGGATAACTTGAATCCACATTTTCCAATCGACATCGGTCGGCTTCCTGTTGCCATCTTGGACAATTGATATGGCTCTATATCTCCAAAACTGGTAGCTCTAGAAGACTTTATTAGCTAATTAGTTTGTCTTTAACTTTAATTGGTTTTTGTTTTGTACATACGGTTGTTTTGAGGAAAGATACACATACCAGTTGGCCTTCTAGTTCTGATGCAGTTTTGGGTAAGCTTTATGGAGCTATTACTTGTGAGTTCTTCATTTAACGGCTTCATGTTGTTAATCAGAATAAACGTAGGTAATGGAAGACAACATGAGATATATCTACTATCAAAAAATGAAAAATGTGATAAGTTGCACATACCTCAAAATGCCCACATCAAAATATGCTTTGAATAAAAATGGGATCCCCACCCATCATTTGCACACAAGCGACATGTCGAAAACCTGGAAGATGTATGGTATTGGTATATTTTACTTATAAAAAAATTTATATTACAAATTTTTGAATCCCAAGTGCCATGATTTTGCCTTCACTGAGAATAATGTCTGGCGTATCTACCGTTTCGTGAATTATTGAAGGGAGTGCTTTTGGGAGAGTAACTGACAGCGTATGCTTTTTTATGGAGCGGCTGCGTAGGCAGAGACCCAGCAGAATCCGAAACATGTGAGCAGCAGTATCCGAGGCTAGGTCTTATCTGGACATTGTATGTGACAAACAGCGTTATGAACAACTTGAATATAAAGCAACCGCATAACAATTTTATGATGTGGCTTGCATCATAACCCCAGTCAAAACTGATTAACTGCACAGATGATTGTCGATATTCGCAAAATCTGAAATATATCTATAGAAGCGAGCGTATGTGGCTGACTTTCGCTCAAACGCTTGACGTTGCTTTTCTTTTTCCTCTGTGCACCCTTACATACGTATGTAAGTACATACGTACGTACGAGCCGAGAAAGTTAAATTAGCACACGAGTTGAGATGTTAATGCTGTTTATGTCTTATTTAGAGGATGCCAAGGAAATTGCGCCCGCTGAATATATTGTCATGGCTGCCTGAAACCATTCTCTTACTGTGTGCCTGTCGTCATGCCAAGATTGTCGGTAGAGATGGTCTGAATATGATCATGTATATACATTACCTGATAGAAATATTCTATAATCCCGTCTACTGCTGACATAACTCATTTGTAACTTAATTGTACCGATAAATAATAGAATTTGTGAGATGTCATGAAATTCGGCTCCCCTTACTCCCAATCTCAGGTGCGATTTTTTAAACTTCCTATTTTAAATGTAAATGCGTTGGATTTATTAAACCAAAAAACCAATTTGCTTCATGATTTTTATTTTTAAGTATGATTAAGAAAATTTAGTTCAATTCAGCCTCCGTGGAGACATGACCACGATAAATATTATTGTGTGCAATTTTGCCATATTTTAATCAAGATACATGCTCTACTTCAATTTAACACAATTTTCTCGCAATTTTACACTCTTGAGGGATCCTACTACTAATACTGTTTCAATAGACAAGTAGCTTTTGGGTAGGAATCGAATCTTATTACTAAGAATCTTGATACGACTCGTAGTGATTCAGTACGCAATAGCGTAGATAATAATCTATACCTGTGTGCGTAGTATGCGGTAATAGACCATACATGTATTTTTTTTTCCTCTTGTCGTCTGAAGCTTGTATTTGTTTTTCGGAAGAGCTACTAGATGTGCTTCTATATGCTGTGTCTTTTGTTTGCGTTTTTGCATCAGCTACACCTAGGACTTATTTCTTATTTTTTGTGTCGTTGATGTTGTGTTTGGTACTGTATCATTTAAAAAATAATTATGAAGCTGTTTTTGGTGTAGTCTTTCACCTAAACTTTTTGTCATCCATGTTGTAGACAAGCCAGCCGTTGTGTTCTAATGCACTTCATGTAAATCAGTAACACTAAACCTAGTGAGAAAAACAGATATTGTATCTTCTTATCGATATTCATTGATCTATATTTCAAAGTGCAATTCCTTCTTTTGCTATAGTTTTTGTCTTTGGAAATTTCAGTGTTCATCCTCCACTATTTACGACGCTTTGATGTGGACATGCGTCTTTCGAATATATCCCAAGTTTATCAGCACAGCTAAACAAGCTGATAACGAAGATCGATCCCGTCGTAGATACGAGTCAAACCTACAAAAGTTGCGTCAAGGGGTACTGCTGCGATGGTCTGATGAGGTCCTTGGTATGATTGAAACACGCATGTCCACGCTAAGGCATAATAGATCTCAGTCATCAGCTTGTGACCATAAGCAGTCCAATGACGGTGGATGGCACATAGGTTGTACTTTGAACCATCTCTGTGTCAGGAGGATTATCTGTCGCCGAATTTGGTTATCCATATATCGATTTTATCGCAACTATTTGATTTCCTAAATGCAGCGCCCCTTACGACTTGTATGTTGCTACCATATGGTAGAGTTGCCAGTTATATCATTTTGCAAGTGAAGTTCCAGCAGAGTTGAGGCTGTCAAATCAGTGGATGTCTGGCTCACTTCAGAGATAAAAAACAGCTGAGCTAACCTTTATCAGAATATAACCTAAACAATTGATGTTTTATTAACTTATTATGAAGCTACACTCAATACTAAACATTCTTTCTTTTTTATTATTATTTTTGCTGCTTACTGGCATGGATCGCAGCAAGAATGTAATTGTAAGAAAACAAAATAGCAGCGATTCAAGTGATGGCAAATCACACTCAGCTGAGGCTGGTCTGTCCTCGCAATAAATTTTGGTAAAAGGAACGTTCAATTAACTGAGCAAACTGATGTGAGGTGAGAGTGTCTGAGATTGTGTGTAAAGCCACGTACAGACCGAGATTCCAACGCAAGCAAAGGCACATGTTGTTACAGATTTGGAGGTGTTCGAATCGGTGTGTATGACGCGAGCCAACATAAGCCAACGGTCTCCAGGTTTGATTTGGTATGGACAGGATTTGTTGCGCTTCTGGTATTTAGTCGTTTGTCTATATTCGATGAGAGGAGACTTGTCGCTCGACATTAGCACCGAACTTAACCCAACGCGGTCCAACTCCAAACTAAATTTAGGTGTAGAGCGCATTCCAATACCTTCCAACAACGGCCTAAAACGAATGTGGCTAATAGTGTTTTTTTATAGATGATGAAAATAGTTGGCTTCAAGACGATATAGAGTGTCGCCACTTTTCGTAACGCTTTTATCTCCATAATCACGATTATCCCTTTCCCGTTTTGTCTACAGAAAAAATAATCAATGGGCAACATTATTTAAACAATGATTTAAATAAATCATCGCTGATACTGTATTATGTACAGACGTTTTCGACCTTCAAACTGATATACAATCTGTAAATATTGGAGTTGAAATTCCAAATTTCCACGTGCAATCCTTCATGAAGGGAGTGCGAATTAGAGAATAAACGGTTGTTAATTAAAACTCGTTCAGAATGTTATTTATATGCTCTCCCTCTCTACAAATGCGAAATGAGAATTTATTTGTTTTCGAAACGGATACATCCCACCCTGCCATCCTGCTCCTTTGTTTGA